TGTGTGTGTGTGTGTGTGTGTGTGTGTGTGTGTGTGTGTGTGTGTGTAAGAGAGAGGGGGAGAGAGGAGAAGAGAGAAGGGGAGAGAGACTGACCTTGGGAGCATCCAAAGAGACCCTGGCGGTAGATAACATTGGGGATGTAGGAAGGAAAGAGGGCAGGAGGTGGTAGGAGTGGTGATCTGGGTAGGAGTCTCCAAACCCTGGGGAACAAGGAGCCAGAAAAGGGCTTGATCACTTTTGTGGTATAGCCAGGCCCTTCTGACTTGCCCCAGGAATGCTGTAGTGAGTTTGGCAAGCCTGTGAAGTGTGCTCCCAGAGGAATCTGGTGCTACATGGTGCTACAGAGCAGGGAAAGGGTGAGCAGGTTAGAGCAGCAGGAGTAAAGAGATGCCAGGCTTCACACACACATGGGATTGCAGAAGAAAGGTGAGCTGGGGCAGGGCCATAAGGAGTCTGGAGCTCAGGAGTCTGAGACATTAATCCCAGAGATCATCCTGAAAAGAGCCTAAGATTTTGCTATCTCCTTCTTTGAGATGTGGGCCTTGAGAAGGCCCACCCCAAGCTTGACCACAGGCTGGGCCTTCTACACAATTGCCCTCACATGTCAGTGTTCTCAAATGTGAAGAGTGTTAGAAGGCTGTCCCTGTGAGACTCTGAGAGATGAACAGACTTGTATTGTTTATTTTCAGACCAAGAGATACTTCCCCAGCCTGGACCTCGGGATGTAGTATGCTCCCTGCCCCCCGGCCCTCCACTTTCTTCTGGTACTTGCCCAGCCCCATCACCTCCCTGTCACACTCACAGACCCAGGATTATCTCACAAGCCCGGAATTCTGAAGGTGTTCCTGTCACTTGTGCTACCCTGGACACTCATCTCCGACCCCTTTCCACACCATAACACTCCTGCCTTGAAGCCCAGTCTGCTCAGCTCAGCAGGCATGCCTGGATTCTGCCCGAAGCGTGGACCTCTTGCCTCACTTCGAGCAGCTACTGCTGCTCCTCAGATTCTGTATGCTGCGATTGTCCAGGCAGTGACAATAGCGACGGCACCGGGGAACACAGCATTTGTTTATGAGCCAAGCATCTTGGCCAGCCTATGTCACAGCTTATCGGTTCAGAAAGACAATCCCTGCATCCCCTGCCACCAGTGGTCAAAAGTTGAGCACAGACTTTACTAGAAAGAAATACTTCCTTAACTCAAGCTCTCCCATAGCATTCACACTGTGACCCACGCTCACATGTACATGACCACGCTCACAGGCAGGCACATAGGAACCTATTTGCATGCACACTGAGCTCACTGAGCACACCCTGCCCTTACTGTTTGTTTCATGTCACTGGTCTAAATTCCATCCAGATGTAAACCTGACAGGGCACAGGAAAATAAAAAACAGGGTCTCTTGTGGCAAACATGCCTACTGGTCTTCATATCTCCAGCAGTTTCTTCTTCCCTTCCCTAGATTGCCAGCTTGGGACTCTCACTCCTTAAAACCCACCTCAAACCATATGGGAGCAAAATAGAGGAGGGACAAAGGCAGTATGGCCTATTCCCTCCTCCCCAATGACGTGTGGAGCTCTTCCCAGCCCGTGGGTACCAGCTGTTCTCCAACTGGCTTTGGATCTCCTAGGGGAGGCAGCGGGAGGCTGGCCTTCCCCTTTAAGAGCATCTCCCTACCACCCCTCCCTTAACCAGAAGCAAGTGCCAAAGTCCAGAGAGAGAGAGCCTTCAGCTCCAGGTATAGCATTGCTGGGGATCCAGGTCCAGGGTCGGCCCTTTTCTTTCTGGTTATGCTGTGTGGCTGGACCTTTTCCAGCTGGAAAGGACAGATAGTCCGGGGGAACAAGGACTGAGTTGGGGATAGATGGGATGCTATAGAGGATGGGATGGGAGAGGGATGGGGAGGTGCCTGCCTCCTAGCCCATGAAGGTGGAGTGGTACTGGAACAAAGAGGAACTGGTGAAACAGAGCGAAAGAGTACAAGCACCTCCCTGGCTTCTTCCACTTTCTATCTTTGTGACTTCGGGCAAATTACAAAGCAACCCTGCAAATCAGCACTCTTATCATGCAGTCTATGTATGCCAGGCCTGGGTGTGAGGCCGGAGTTCTGGCAGCTGGGAAATTACTCACATCCAGACCTGCATTAACTCTTCCAGGCTTGGGTTTGGGAGGGCCAGCCAGAACCCAACCCAGCACCTTCCGTAGACCTCAATTTCCTGGGCTGGGGAGCCAGAGTGAACCTCCATCTCCATACTACGTAAGAGCTGAAGTCTGTCTTGGGGGAGGGCTGGCATCTAGGGACACCTTAACCCAAACGTCATGCTGGTTGAAGCCCCAAGGGGCCAAGGTCCCCCACCCAGAGCCCACTGTCTCTGTGTTGTGGGCTGAACATGCCACACATGCTTCCCTTCCCTGCCCTTCTGGCTCTGCGTCCTAGCAGCTGAACAAATGGCACTTCTCCCCTACCCCCCATCATTCCTGTGCAAAGGGCATGGAGCCTGGCGTGTAATGCTGGCAGCTGTAGCTTTCCATGCTACTGTCAAGTTTTCCAGGGCACAAATGAGACAGGAGAGCCAGGAATAACTGCCTGGGCCCCAGAGGGTCTAGAGGGGTGGGACAACATCAGACCTGGCCCCAGACCTTTTTCCTGAGGGTCAGGCAGTACACTTTACCCCAGGCCAGAGCTTTGGAAGGTATCTATAGCCACTAGGAGTCCATTATCTGACATGAGTCCCATCGGCATGGGCCCAGGCTCCCATGGGACCCAAGTCTACTCCCTGTGTGACCTTGGAGAATATATTTAACTTCTCTGAGACTTGGCTCTTATAATCCAAGGTAGCAGCCTCTTAGCACCCCATTAAAACTGGTGTGAAGGGCCTTCTTCTGAACCTGACCATGTTCAAAGCCCTGCCATTGCACGGACATTTTTATGTCTAGACCCATAAAAGAGACCCAGGAGCCAATCGACACTCCTGTTTTTCAGACCTGTTGGAGGCTAAGCTAAGCCCAAGACCCCAACAGGGCCCCACAACAGATAGGTGCCAACTCGTGGTCCTTACCAGGGACAACAGAATAGTAAAACCCCTATCCAGAGGAGGATCCAGAGTGGGATCACTGACTGGAACGAGGGTGCAAAGGCTGTGCAGAGGGTACAAAGGAGGCCGGTCCTCCATGCCTGCTCCTTGGAGATGGGTGTTATGGGTGCCTGACACCCCTCCCCAGGGACTATATTAGCCGCGTGAGTCATGGTGGACTGGTTGGGAGGCCGCGGGCAGGCGGGCCCAGTGTAGGGTTACAGTCCATTTATGGGCGCAGCAAGGACAGATATCAGTGTCGATGGCATTCACTCCCAGCTATTCTTAGGAGCCTCCCAGGAGGAGCTCTGTACAGCCTGGCCAGGGAGCAAGGGACACAGCAGGCAAGGCCAGGGATTGGGGTCTGGGGCAAAGAACAGAAATATGGGCTGGAAAGACAGGCTGCATGAGCATCCTCTCACCTGACTCTTTGTACTATTTGTCTTCAGAGGAAGCTGCCACTGTCAGCCTCGGCATGTCTTACAGTGTGACTCTGACAGGGCCTGGGCCCTGGGGCTTCCGTCTGCAGGGAGGCAAGGACTTCAATATGCCCCTCACTATCTCTCGGGTAAGTGCACATTGCTCACGGCCTCATTCCCAAAGGGGCAGGGCATTCTTGGAAGAGGGCATCCTCATGCCCATCTGTCTGTCAGTCAGTCTGTCTGTCTTCCCAGGGCTCTTGGAAAGCAGAGCCTGCCTTTTTCCTGGTCTGAAGTCTAGGACTGGACTGGTCTCCTGATCTTGACCACAGTTGAATCTGCTCACCCCAGCTTATTCCTTGGACTTCGCCCATCTAAGCAAGATGTCATGGGCAAATAGCTGAGCAGGAAATGCTGAGTTTGCAGCTTGGGTAGGCTTGTGGGCAGAGAGTGTGGGGCCTTCCTAAACATCTTCCCCAGAAGGGTAGGCTTGGGGTAGTCCCAAGATTGGAATCCTTGCCTAAAAGCAGGCAACTGCTTAAGAAAGAGCATTCCTAGCATAAGGAAGGCAGGTGACAGGCAGGTGGGTAGACAGGGATGACCATGTTGCCCTGCCGTCATGATATAAGTCTAGGCTGGACTGGTTGCTGGCCTCCAGGGTCCACTCTATCCTAGACCCAAGACACCAGCCTCTCCTCTCCCAGTCACAGTGGGCCTGGCCGGAACCTCTCACGATCCGGCTCTTCGGCTGGGCCAGTCTTTCTCACCTAAGGAAGGGCTGCCTGTCCCACAGCTTTGCTCTTGCTAGGCTGGGGAAATGGCCCCTGTGTCCTGTAGATAATGGTGAGAAACAGTACTGTCCAATGAAAATGGCATCAAACACCAGGGGTTATGGGGACAGCTCCTGTTGAGTTGGAGAAACTGAGGCCTGAAAGGCCAGAAAGTAGACATGCTTGCAAGGAATCGAGGAGGAACTTTAAGTACTGCTATAGTCCGGGCACCTAGGCTATAGCCTGGCACTATCTGCTCAGCATTTGTCCTGGTAGATCTGGGACTGAAGGCCCCATGGCTCAGGGGGACTGAGGCATACAGGGAATAAGTATAACCTGCTTAGTAGCTGAGCCCCTGGCAGGACTGATCTGGGCTTAAGGGGCAGGGTTAGACTCCAGGGTGTCACTATGGAGTTGGAGGATGGAATCAGGTATAACTGGAGTACTGTTTCTTTCACAGAGCAGTAGAGACTTGCCTTGAACCTGGGGGGCTAGCTCTCAGGGGTAGTGGGGAAGCCTGGGAAGTGCTTGACAGAGGGGCAGGGTCCAACATTCCCCTGAAGCAGCCCTGGTCCTCAGATCACTTTTAAGCTCGGCCTTTGGGGAGGGATACTGTCTTCACCTCTCAGCTGCAGACCTGGAGTCTCTGCCCTCCAGACCTACTGCCCTGAAAACAGAGGGGCCCCCTGCTAAGGGGACACCCTAAACCATATGCATCTTGCTTGACGATGTGGTGACATGTGGGCATGTGAGACCGGTGGCTACCCCCATGCTAGGCTCTGCACAGTCCCCACTTCTGACGCTGGAGCTTTCCTCCCTGTGTAAGACAGGGCCTTTCCCATCATCCTCATGTGCCCACCGGCCCCTATGCCTAGGACTGAGACCACCATCCCTGCGGCTTGCTGCGGGAACAAATTCATCTCCAGGATCAGTGGCACCCAGGAAAGCCAATGACCTCACTCAGGACCTATGCACCACCTGGCCCCGGATGGCCACGGCTTAAATGGCAGCACAGAGGCTTAAAGCTAGACAGCAGGAAGAATGTCCTCACTCAAAGAGGGGGTGTGTTGGGGTGTGCTGGAAGCTAATGCTAGGGAGGCTTTTAAAAATAGAAGCCAGGGCCCTGGGGGATTGGCTCATTTCTGCTACACAACTCGAATCACCGGGAGAATGATGAAACAGAGCCGTGGTGTTCAGGCTTTGCAGTTTCCCGAAAAAACACAACTTGTGGGCCACACATACAGTGGGCTTTGGCATCCCAGTCCTGGGCATTCCAGGCCCGGTGCTGACGGCAAGGCAGACAGGATGAACACTAGGCCTGTGGAAGGCATCTGCTGCTGAGGTTCACAGTCCCTTCTGTACCAGAAACAGCCTAGTCACAGAGACACAAGAGCAAGGATGTACCCCTGCTCATCTTCACACCCCCCCACTCTTGGCACAGCCACTACAATTGTGAAGTCTGGGGTTACCAACTCAGAGCTGAGCAAACAAAGGCTTTCCCGGATGCCCCCAGGTAGCACTCACGTGTCCCAGCATGGCCTAACTCCCTCAGGTGGTCCTTTGCCTGTCAGACTCGGCACTGGTGGAAGCTGGTGTCTCTCAAAAGCAGCTATGTGTTGCTCCCAGGAGAAATAGCTGCCACCTGCCTGCGGGGTGATAGCTGAGGTACGCACCCTACCCACGGCCTGCACACACGTACTATGGCAGCAACCTGAGCAGAAGACCCCTAAGACCCTCACTCAGCACATCTAAGGATAAGACTCTGCAGAGATGGGGTACAGGAGGAACACTCTAGGGTGGAGGGCAAAAGCCTTCACTTATCCTGGACAGGTGCAGAGGCCTGCAACCTGAGCTGCCCTCTCACCCTCCCCTCCCCCACCTCAGCCAATTCTCCAGGAAGCAGACTCAAGGGAGCAGATTACAGGCCTCAACAAGGCCCCTGTCTCTGCCTAGACACTGGGGCTAGGTGTGGGGCCTTGCCCCTTCATGGCTGTGGCACTCTCTACCGCAGGAAAGAGGCAAGTGTCTTCGTTCGCTTTTACATCTCTCTGCTGTGTCACCTGTAACACAGCCTGGCTTTTCTCACCTATGAAATGGGACAGTGCTGTCCACCCTTGTGAGATTGAAAGTGTGGAAATGAGGCCGACTATGAGGCTAGTGTGCAAAGGGGCCGTGGGCTGGGCTAGACCTGCCTCCTTATTGGAAGGCCTTGACCTCCATCCAACCTGGCAGGCTTGCCTGGGCCAGAGTCCAGAGCCTTCTGCCTCTCATCCGATTTCAGTTTCAGTATTATTGAACTGTCCCAGCTAAGGTGGTGACACTGAGAACAGAGGACCCCTGGGAAGAGAACAGAGGGCAGTCTGAGACTATTCTGGGGTGGCTGTGCTGGCAATTCCTGGAATTTCCAGGCCCCTGGAGCATAGCATCCTGAGCTGTTCTCAGCAGTGCCTATCAGTGCTGACAGGCTATGCTGTTTATAGCCCTGCTGAAGGTCAGGCAACCATCTATCTAGCTATCCAGCAGGGTAAGATAAGGAATGGTCACAGCTGAAGACTGCATTCTTAAAGGTGCACCTCAGCCAGGCCCTCCTGGATTCACACTTGCTTCTGACCCTTTGAAGGCCCTGAAGGCAGCAGATCAGAGGCCCACTAGGTCCTGGGAGGGGGTCCCTGTAGGTCCCAGAACCAGAGCACAAGCCAAAGGCAACTCTATGGGCAGACAAGAATGGGGCCTGATGCTATGGGGAGACAGGGGAATATGGGGACAGCAGATATGAGAAGGACATGGGCACCAGGGACAGGAGGAAGTTGCCTAATTGTGAAGACCCTGCAGTCCTTATCTCCAGTCTTCCCATGCCCAAACAGGGCTTTTCTATTCTGCTGGAGCCAGGTTTCTGCCCTCATAGGAGCCATCCTTGGAGGCATGAAGCAAGTGCCAAGTACATACAAGAACACTGACAATTTGTTGGGAAAAGCAGAGAGGAACAATGTTGGGACCTGAAAAAACAGAGGAGGACCCTGTTTTACACACTCACCCAACACACACACACACACACACACACCAAATATTGGTGTGTGCAAACAATTAAATACCAAGGCCAGGTGTTTGAGAGTGTGAGGGATGGGTTATAGATGAGCCAGGGTCTGTGGTCACCTCTTGGAGGAACTCTGGTAACATAGAAGGGAGAGAAGTGAAAATAGTAGCTATTTGGACAAGCAAGGAGGGTATAGGAGAGTCTGGCTTTTATATATTCTTTCTTTTTCTCTTTTTGTTTTTTGTTGTTTTTTGTTTTGTTTTGTTTTGTTTTGTTTTTGAGACAGGGTTTCTCTTGGTGTCTTGGCTGTCCTGGACTCACTTTGTAGACCAGACTAGCTTCAAATTTACAGAGATCTGCCTGCCTCTGCCTCCCTGAGCCCTGGGATTACAGGCATGTGCCCCCGCACCCCGCTGAGCCTGGCTTATTTATACACCAGGACTGGAATAGAGGTTGAGGCCACTGGGAAAAAGAAGTTTCCAGAAAAAGAGTGAGGACTGGCCAGATGGGAAAAGGGCCAGCCTGGCACGTGGTGATTTAATCCCAAAGAGTTAAAATGCACTTAGGACTCCAGGGGGAATCCCTGCCAGGCTTCGAAGAAGGAGCTGGGAAGGTCCGACACCTTCCAGGCCTGTTACCTGCCTTTAGCCGGCCCCACCACACCTGGCAAGTCACGCTGAGAAGGCAGGCAGGGCCTGTGTGTTTCTGAATATGAGGAGGGATGCTCAACTCCTCTGTGGAGCCCAGGCGCCCCCAGACCGCCTGGCCTCTTGTTTCCCTGGAAGAACCCCTGCTATTCTGTCACATCCTTCTAGGAACAGTAGGCTGGCTCAGGACTAGTCAGTGGGGGCTGACCCCTTGCCTTGCACCTTCTATCAGCTCTGGATCTTGTTTCTTAAGGAACCTGGGGTCCAGCCATGCTGACCTGCTGCCGCCCAGTACTATCCTTGACTTCCCTGGATAGTCAAGAGGGAGATCGGGAGAAGGAGCTTTGGGTCAGCACTTGTGTTCTCTTAGGTTGGAGATCTTCCCCAAAACCTCTCAAGCTCTGCAGCATCCTTGTGTAACACCCCGTTTCATAATGTAATCCTCACAACATGCTGGAGAAAAAGACCTCTGGACACTCACTGGAATGTGTGAAGTTTCAACCAAAGCAGGCTTAAGTTGGCCCATTCTGCTGTCTATATGCTTTCCTCTGTTGCCTCCCTCCTAGGCACGACAGTGGCCATGACGCCAACTACCCTACCCTTGTGTTAACCTCTAAAGAGTGGATTGGGCCTTGCAAATCAGATGTGTCTTCTTTTTTTGTTTTGTTTTGTTTTTTGAGACAGGGTTTCTCTGTGTAGCCTTGGCTGTCCTGAACTCACTTTGTAGACCAAGCTGGCCTTTAATTCACAGAGATCTGCCTGCCTCTGCCTCCTAGAATGCTGGGACTACAGGCAGGTGCCACCGTGCCTGGCTCAGATGTGTCCTCTTGAACATCATGCCTTTCATTTCTCTGTTGTTTTTGCCTGGCTTACGTATTTGGGGTCTAGAAGAGGAATGTTCTGGGCACAAGGTAGATAGTGTTTTTAAGAATACATCTGGGACTGCAAAGGCTGATTAAGAGCAGTTGGTAAGGGAGGGCCCTGCTGGCCTTGTTATCATTCACACGGTACAGGACAGTGCTTCTTGGACCAGTGATATGATGCGCCTTAGGATTATGTCCCAGCACGGCATGGACTGAATGGCCAATCATGGCCCCGTTTGTTCTTGATGGCCCACGCTGAGGCCCCTCAAGGTTCTGCTTCATGTTCAGGTCCACACTGGACAGTGACTGTTGGCTGCAGACAATTGAAAAATTAGGTAGAAATTAAACACTCATCCAAAGAGAATTTTAAATGCTCAAAGGGAGATGAAACTTTTTTTTTTTTTAAGAAAATGTCTCCTAGCTAGAATGTGAGTATGTTCAGTCTTTTCTGAGACAAAGTCAACAGCTAAAGGAGGATGAACTACACTTTTCATGAGCCCTGGACTCCAGGCAATGGCCAACAGGCTTCCCTTCCCCAACTCCCACGGGAGCTGAAGTTGTTCCTGTGGTGGAGAGAAGGAGTCTTATGGTCCTTGGCTCTCCTTGCCTCCATCTGGCCTCCTTCTCTAAAGACACTTGAGCAGAAAAGAAGAACTCCCTATTGCAAATACTCCACCCCCACTTGAGGGACATTGGACCCTGCTTAGGGCATCTAAAGGCCAGGCCAGCTGAACTCTAATGGGCAGGCACAGATGTACGGAGAGAGGTGCCAGGGACAGGGGGATCCAGCTTGGTGGCTGTCCTCTGGAATGTCTGGCTACTGACCAGGCCCCTGGAGCAAGGATTACCCCAGCCCACGCCTGAGGATATCAGGCAGCTCCAGGCACAGGGAAAGATAAGTACAAGTTGGCTGTATGCAAGGGAGAAATATGTCACCAGGCAGCTCTAAAGACATGGCATTCCTGGTGGCCTGCAGTTGGCACTAGCTGATTGGGCCCAGCCTCCCTTGGATGTCATTCTGGTGTCCTTGCTTATATTGTCACCATGATCTGAACACTCTCATCCTGCCTAGCAGTGTCCCTTCTGGGTTTGTAGCCCCACCCTTCTGCATGAGATTAATAGCTGCTTCCCTCTGTCCTACCCCAAGCTATTTGTAGACAGTCAAAATAGAAGCACTGGGGGTGTCCTTCTGCAGGTACATTCTGCTGTGGAGAGTATTTTATAGGGTGACATACTACAGAGCAGTTTACTATGAGCTATCTTTCCCTGGGGGTGTACTGCGGGGGAGGGGGGGTAGCTATGGGAGTGCTCAAGAGGACCACTAGGACACGTGGCACTGAAAACTTTACCCTGGGTGATGCTAGTGTTCTCATCTTTCTTTGAAGTGCTTCTAGAGTAAGATGGCTTGATGGGTGGAGAGCAGTGACAGTGATGTTTGATAAGGTGAAAGAGTGAGATGTTATGGTTGGACAGCGATGATGAGAATTGGGGATAGTGAGTTGTTAGAGATAACTCAGCCCTACATAGAAAAGCAGGAGAACAGGTAGATTTTCTGCATAGCAGCAGGTTTCTATTGTTCTAGAAAAGTGTCTGGTTTTTCTTTCACTGTCCCATTGTGTGTGCACGTGTTCAGGTGTATGTATATGTGTGATTGTGTGTGCATGTGTGTGTGTGTTGTATCTCAGGAGTTGTTCACCTTGAGTTTTTTGAGTCAGGGTCTCTCATTGACCTGGAGTCCCTCGCTGACCTCTCCTAGTCAGCCAGGCTGGCTGACCAGCAAGCCTGAGGAAGATTCCTATCAGTCTCTGCCTTCCCAGAACTGGAATTACAGGTGTATGCCTACTCCTTATTTTTAGTTGTGTGTGAGGGCTCAACCTCAGGTCCTCTAAACACCTAGCCAACCAAGCCATCTCCCCAGCCTGTCACTATTTTTCACTTCTGCATTTAAGACAGAAACACATTTCTGTTACCATGGGCTCCCTGTGCTGATGGACTGAGGAATAATGATAGGTCTATGATCCCTTATGGCATCTGGAGAGTGGGCTTTGCAAGTCAGATGTGTCTTCTTGGCCATTGAGGCTTTCAGTTATTCTTATCTATTATTCTCAAATTGCCTAGCAATTTGGGGTCTAGAAGAGGAATTTTCTGGGCACAAGGGGGCAGTGTTTAGGAAGACACCTGGGACTGCAAAGGCTGGTTAAGGGGAGTTGGTAAGGGAGGCCCTTTTGTTCTTGTGATCATTTCACATGGTACATGACAATGCTTCTTGAACCAACATTATGATTACAAAAAGGTGTTCATTTTTTTTGGCACAGTGACTACTAGGCACCTTCATGCACGTATAATTCCCTTCAGGAAACCTGGCAGGAACATTCCATTCATGTCTACAAGCCCAGAGCTTGATCAGAGGCCCACACAAGCTTAACCCAGGTCTCCTAGATGGTTCCCAGACCTTTGCCAAAATCTGGCTTCTGCTGGTATTAATGACTATTCTTATCATTGTTTTACAGCCAGAAAGGTGAGTAGGATGTGGCCAGAGATGCCAAGAGAACTAGATTGTAGGCACAGAAGCAGGCAAAGATAAGGGATATTTTCCAACCCTATGGGAAATGCGGCCCAGAGCCTCCTCTTTCCTGTGATGTCATTGGTGACAAGGCCTGTGTGACATTCTATGTGGTATCATAGAGAAACATCCAACATGATGTCATAGAGTCAGCTCCTAAGATTCTTGTATGTATAAGTGTTACACACTAACAGATTGTTGCACTGTGCTTGTCTCCTTAATCAATAAAGCATTTACACTGGAAAAAATAATGAACATTTCTGTGTGCTATTATAAGGGGTTGATACATTCCTTTGGAAGTCATAGAAGTTAAAGCTAGGCTCCTCAAGTGACAACTCATGAGCTATCTTTCGAAGTAGGGCTGCCAATGTCACTATGGCCAGTCCACTGAACCACTCTAAAATTGTGTCACTAGGTCTTATGGAAGTTCACATCTCAGGTAGTGTCACTGTGGGTAGGGCCACATGAGCACCCAGAGCCCTGTTACAAGGGGCTGCCACACACAACTTGATACTGGGTATGATGTCATTGAAAGTTCAGTGTGAGCCGTGGCTTCCCAAGTATTGGTGAAAATAGCTTTCCCAACATCCCGTGAAGTACTTTCATTGTGGAGACTTAACAGCATTTTATGTAGCCATTTTATGAAGCCTCCAGACAAAGATTTTTGGATGTCAGTAAGGTACAGGAATTAGGAGCTAGCTTCATAATTATACGTTCTCTTCCAGAGGAGTGCAGGTAGCCTGAGGACCCCACGCCTGCCTTACTTAGCAGCCTACCCTCTCCCCACGCAGGGCCGATGGCTCCTTTAGTTGTCTGTGCTCCTGCCCTGAGAGCATTTTTGATTGCACAGAATGCCATTGAGACTCCACAAAGAAAAGACTTGGACGTGGGGGTACATTTATTCTGCCCTTTGGTCTGGCAGTGATGTGGGACAGGGAGGCGCTAAGTCTTACCCTCATCAGGACTGGAAAGTTCTCTCTAGGTTTGCAGGGTACAGGGGTCATAGGTTAATCGGCAAATGTAACCCCCACATATCAATGGCCTGGCACAGTGGGACTCTATCCCTCATTTAAGAGGCCTGGCATACCGTCTCCGCTCCAGGAACCAGGGCCCTTTCCAATTAGCAGCTTGGCTGTTCTCCCCTTGAACCTGTGCATTAAGCACAGTGCAGGATTGCTGAGGAAAGACGTGGCAGTGGTGAGTGTTTCTTCCACTAGCATCCCACTGGCCAAAGGTGGTCCCTTGACTGCTGCCAAAACATCCGAGGAAGTAGTAGCCAAGCGAGGAAGAGGAACCAGGTTTGGTGAGCAGCTGACCATATCACGAACAAAAGTCATGCTGGGTGTCTACCAGATGCTCCAGGTGATCCTTCCATGATTCACCCCTTCTTCTGCTTGCTTAACCAGATCACTCCAGGCAGCAAGGCAGCGCAGTCCCAGCTCAGCCAAGGAGACCTGGTGGTGGCCATTGATGGAGTCAACACGGACACTATGACCCACCTGGAGGCCCAGAATAAGATCAAGTCTGCCAGCTACAACCTGAGCCTCACTCTGCAGAAGTAGGTGGAAACTCTCCAGAGAAGATGTGGTGTGGTGTAGGCATGTGATGGGGGCAAATGAGGTCATCCTCAGCGTTTTCGTAGGCCTAGCCCTGTGCCACGGGATTATATAGGAAGGATGGGCTAAAGTCATTGTTAGGCTGCTATTGGCTCACTTTACAGAAGTGGTGTAGGCAGAGTGCATGGCTACTGTGCCAGCAGTATAGGGCGGGCTGGACCTGGAAACCCTGCTTCCTCTTTCCTCGGGCAGCAGCCCTATCCTCACCCCATGCAGAAGAAGCCCATGAGACCTAGTGGGGGAAAACCCTCCAGGGTTATGACCGCTTATCCTGGTCAAGCCCAGAGCCTCCCTCAGGAGACCAAGTGCGTGGGGTGAATGGTGCACCTTGGTCCCTGTGACTTTACTGTCCAGATCCCCCTAGTGTCCCCCAGGAACTTTTAGGCAGGTGCAAATGTCCTCACTGGGTCCTGTTTCTGGTTTATCTAGGTCCAAGCGTCCTATACCCATCTCCACAGCTGCACCCCCTATCCAGTCCCCACTGCCAGTGATCCCCCACCAGAAGGTAGGTGCTGGCCACTGGAAGTGGGGGTCCACTCAGCCGCGGTTCCAGGAGTGTAACCTTGCCTGCCTGCCTGCCCTTGCCACTGCTGACCCTCATGAAAAATATGTGAGCCTATGACACACTGAGTTGTAGGGATGCCTACCAGCTCCCGAGATACCATCCCAGGTCCAGCAGCTGGTCTGAGAAGAAACCCACTCAGAAAAGAATGTGCTGAGAAGAGGGCCAACATTCTAGTCAAGCACGAAGCAGTGGTCTGTTGAGGGGCCTTTGGCCCTCATTGTCTGGGGGACACTGAGACTAGCATTGCTGTAAGAGGCCCTAGCTTGAGTCAGCCATCCCAGGAGGCACTCCCAGGAGGTGTGAAGGAGCCTTATTGGCCCCCAGAGTTTTTTCTCCATACATACTCTTTCAGTTTTTAAGAGTCTATCCATCCTTTCCAGCTACAGACTCCCTATGTCTATTAGAAGGACTAATTATAATCTTGGCACAGGAGTGGAGAGGCAGCAAAACCCTGGCCCCAGATCTCACCACTAGAGCCAGAGCCCTTCCCAGACTCTCAGCAGCTGATCCCTGTGGGCCCAAGGGCCTAGCCTAAACCTGGGAAGGCCAACCCATAGCTCCTCCATCCACTCCCTTACTACAACTGTAGACTGACTCTGGTCTATTCAATGAGGAGATTAGACAGCAGGAGACCTGGGAAGAAGAGGCTCACAGGGGGGTCATGGTTTGGGGAGATGGACAGAGGGCTGCTGGGAGGAATTGCCAAGGTAGACAGAGATGGCCAAATAGCCCATGTGCTTCCTTAAGTTCTCCTTGGTACCTCCACACCCCAAATATCAGTCATCCCTGGCTATGAAGGGTCTTCTCTGGGTGGGGTCAGTAAATCAGGAGGCTTGGCTGCACTCATAGGGTATCCATTCAAAGAAGAAGGGGTTAGGGGGTGGGATAGACAGGATAGTGATGCCCTTACCATCCCCTGAGCCCTGCATCCGCCTTCCTCAGGGAAGACTTGGCTTTCTATGAGGGGCTTTGCATTCTGTCTAGATGGATGCCAGTATCTAGACCAGGAGCCACAGGCTTCTCTCCTCCACTCTGCTTGAAAAAAAAGACCTTCTTTCCAGTGTCCATTTAGGTGCTTCATCCAGCAGGCTGCAGGCTGTGGGTGGCGGGCTACAGGCGCTCACACTAACGTCTCTTTCAAGTTCGCACAGAAGCACAGCTATGTGTGGCCTCTAACCACTGTCTTCTCTCTCCCCCGCATGGTGCTGCCCTATGCCAGGACCCTGCTCTGGACACGAACGGCAGCCTGGCGACTCCCAGCCCCAGCCCTGAGGCGAGGGCCAGCCCAGGCACCCCAGGCACCCTGGAGTTCGGGGACACCTTTAGCTCTTCCTTCTCCCAGACTTCTGTCTGCGCCCCACACATGGAAGCCCTGGAGCCTGTGCTTCCTCAGGGCAGCCCAGTGGCCAAGGCCAGACCAGAGGGTGCACAGGGCTCAGTCAGCCCCAAAGTTCTGCCAGGCCCCAGCCAACCGAGGCAATATAACAACCCCATTGGCCTGTACTCAGCAGAGACCCTGAGGGAAATGGCTCAGATGTATCAGATGAGCCTCCGAGGAAAGGCCTCAGGTGCTGGACTCCTAGGAGGGTAGGTAAAGGGCAGCCTGCTGTCTGGTATGGAGCCACCTGGGTCATTGGTGCTCACCACAACAGCCTGGTCAGATGGTCAGGGGGAGGAACAGGCCTCAACATCACCAGCCCTGCACCCATGAGGCAGCACCAGCTGAAAGCAACACTAGCAGAGATCCTATTGACCTGCCATCAGCCAGGCACACCACTGCCTTGTACAAGCACTCTGGAGAGACATGTCAGCTCTTTGCAGAAATAGAAACTGAGGCTCAGAAATGGTTAAGCTGAGGTCCAGGTGTCCAGCTACTAAGTGGCTAAGCTAAGCTTACATGCAGGAGACTCCAGCTTCCAAATTTTCATCCCAGGCCACACCCTGTCCCACGCTGCCTGCTGCCTTTGGAAATTAAGGTGCTAAGAGATGGACCAGTCTCCAAGTCCTGGGACTCCAAAGGCAAGAACAGGAAATAGTTTGAGATAAGAACGTAAGTTCTCTAAGGATGAGAGTAGTCTAGGGAGTAGGAGGGAGGGCCAGAAACACCCAAGCAGAGACTGGACAATGAGGAGAGGAAGTTTACAGGGCTGAGCCAGGCTAGGATGGATTGAAAAAAAAAAAAAAAAAAAAAAAAGCAAAGGAGAGGGAGTTATGAAGAACAATAACCCATCTCTGGTTCCCATAGTGTAGCTGGTAGAATTGAAAGAGCATGGAGCCAGGCCACTGTGGAAGGGTAAAGGGGAGAGGATCCTGGTTAACCAGCCTGTAACAGTTGCCAGACCTCTCTCCCCACTTGCCTCACAGTAACTCAGCTACTTGCCTGTGCAATGGGTATATTATCTCTAGGTGCTAAAGGAGCAGCAGGCTGAGTCTCAGAGAGAGGAATCGCACAGTTCTCTTCTCTGAATTACTGGAGGATAAAGAGAACAGCACTCATCACACACTGGCTTCATGTACGCACTGTCCAGCTGATATCCAAGAGTCAGGGTAGGAGCCCGGTCCAGCCACATCCTCCTTTGCTCTTCCATGTCCACTAGACCAGGGCTCCCAGGTTTCTCAGCTTCCCCAGCTCCTTCTGGAATCTGAGAGAAAACAGTCCCTGGCCTCTTTTCCTGCCTCCGATGGGAAGCTCTTCCTAGTTCCCACTGGACCCACCCTGAGCACGAAAGTTGCCTTCTGGTTGACTGGGAAAAGCAGACCTGCAGTGATCGCCTGTCTCCCTGGCTGAAATCTGACTCTGAGTTAGGAACTGGCTCTTTTTGCTTGTTATTACTTAATTTAGTTTATGTGTATGGGTGTTTTGCCCATGTGGGTATGTAAGAGACCGTCTTATCCTCAAGAACTGAGTTACAGACAGTAGTGAGCGGCTGTGTGGATGCCGAGAATCAAGCAGGCTCCTCTGGAGGAGCAGTCAGTGGTGAGTCCTCTCTCCATCCCCATAGGAACTGGCTTTGTCATTAACTTCAGAGGTGGGCATTGATTTCCTTCACCTTGGCAACTCTGGTCTAGCATGCAATTGACCCATGACCACGTAGCTACTAAGAGGCAGGCGGAACTGGTCCTCTGATCTGCCTGATTCTATCTTGATTTGAGATGGAATAGGAAAGCTAGGAGGTCAGGAGCCCTACCCCCTGGACTCCCCGGTTCCAGTCCTTTGGTGCACATACTGTCCAGAATGTACCTGGTAAATGTAGAAATTATATCACTTGATAATCAGAGAGAAGCAGGATCCAACACCAGGGAAGGATGCAAGGTTGGGGCTTCATTCAAAGAAAGAACTGATTGTTGTCAGCGTTGACTGTGTGGGCAGAAAGATTTACGACCTCTGCTGGGCTGAGGTCCCAGCTTTACCAAGTGTCTCACTGTTTGAAAGCAACAGACATGGCAATTCTCCATGTCCATCTATCGCTCTCACGCTGACTGAAGGCATGAGACTTCGGCATGGCGGACACCCTCACTTCCTTCTCTTTTTAAAATTTTTAAAATTTAATTTAATTTTTATGTGTGTAGGTGTCTTGTCTGCATGTATGTCTGTGTACCACCAAAAGAGGGTGTCATATCCTCTAGAACTGGAGTTACAGATAGTTGTGAGCTGCCACGTGGGTGCTAGGATTCAGACTTGGGTCCTCTGGAGGAGCAGCCGGCACTCTTTCCCATGGAGCCATCTTCTCCAGTGGCCCCATTTCCTTCTTTATGAATAAGTTGAGATGGGGGAACTTGCCCAGAGTCAGAGCGTTGAGAAGAGGCAGGGTTAGAAACTGACCTCTGTTCTGTCACACAAAAGGGAAGTCTGTTCCTTACTCTTTTCTGGTTCTTGGCAGCTGGATCTCTGGGAACAAGTGGAGGGGAGGAGCAAGGACAGGTAGGCCTGAGAAAGGACAGGAAGGCCTGAGCAAGCTTCACCCCTCACCTGAAAAGCGGCCTTGAGAGGCCACACAGAGCAAGGGCCCCTGGACGGGCGCTGTATCCCTGGCGCCTCGCCTCGTCCTAAGATCTGAGCTGGGTGTGCTGCCTGCAGAAATCCAAGCCTTGGGGTGTAGCAAGAACCTGGGGGGGAGGAGGCAGTGCCAAAGAAGGAGCTGGCTGCTGCTTAGGGCAGAGGCAACCTCCACCCAATCCAGCCAACACTGCCCTCTGCAGGGGACACTGGGCCGGTCAGCGCAGGAGCTGACCCTGCAGCTGTCAGCACTGGCCAAACATGGAGAAGAAATGGCAAAGCCAAGCTGGCCTTTTCCTAATATAGATCCACTTGTGGCTATTTTGAGCATGGGAGGACAGAAGGAATTTTATCAGCTCTAAAACAGTAGGGGACCTGGGCTGGAGCAGACATGACACCCGCTCTCGGGGGTGGAAAGTCCTTGACTTCCCAAAATCCTGATTGTGGGGTGACAAGGGCCAGGCTAACTGGGGCTAAGAGTCCCTCTTTCCAGAGTTCATAGTGGGCAGATCTAGGAAATCATGTGGTATATGGAGTATATGGGGACAAACCTCCATACTTTCTCATCCTGAGTGTCAGACAGGGCCTCAGGGCCTTCCACCGCAGTGGAAGCATCGTATGGACAATGATTCCCCCCAGAAATTCATATTCCAAGAGGCTCGTTGTGAGGACAGTGTCCCTCTGTACTGACCTTCTAGGTGGCCCCTGCTGAGGGCTCTCCTGTGAAGGCCCTGAACCTGCCCTCCTCCTGGGACTCCTCTGGCCTCACTGCTGTCTCCCAAGGCCTTTGGAGCAGTCACCAGGGACTGTCCTGACTCACACTCCCTGCTCCATGAGTGATCAGAGCTGTCTGTCTGTCCTCTGGGAGAGAGAAGGGGGCCCAGGGGCTATGGGTGACCCTGCTGTACACAGAATGGCACTGCAATGCCTCCTCAGCTTATGAGCTGTGCCCTCCCTCCACCTCACCCTGCCCCGCCCAAGCGCCATGAACAGGGCTTTTCATCTTTGGGACATCTTGGAGCCTCAGCCCTTCTTGAAGCAGGCACCGTAGTCATGTCTCTAAGCTAGCTTTCTCTCCGGGGTCTACATATGTAGATCCTACATACGCCAGGTTAGACATATGCGATCCATGTACTTGTGCAGGAGCTCTTGAGCCTAACAAGAAATCCCTCCCCACTAGCAAAGCTGGGAATGTTGGGGACCAACCATAGAGGGAGTCCTGGCACATCCCACCCAAGCCAATGGTTCCAGCAACCCTGATTTCAGGTTCTGTGCTCTCACCTCCCTCACCTCTTACTCCTCGCAGACTGAGGTTCTGCCAGTCCTGCGTCCTCCACAACCAGCCTGAAGATGGACCCAACACTCGAGCTTCCCCAGTGGAAGCCTCACTCTGACTACTCTCTATTCTTTGCTTTGTCTCTCCTTCCAGGTGGTAGCCAATTCTCCAGCCAAGTTAGTATCCCAGGACAGCATGTGTGTGTCCCTGTGTGCCATTCCAGCATGCACCTGCCATCTGTTGGGTGTGGATGGTGTGTGCCCGTTGGCATGTGCATGTGTGAGTCAGGATGCATTGTGCCCTTGATGAGACTGCACGGGTATTTGCTGGAGTATGGAGGGAAGCCATTGCAAGGCATGGCTGTCTATGTGATGGTCTCAATTTTGCTCCCAGTTTCCTGCTCCAACAGCTTAAGGCTTGCAGGTTAATTCAGGTGTGTGGGGTGCTGCGCTGTCACTGGCCTGTGTGGGCCTGAAGACCTCTCTGTCCCAGTGGGACCTCCTGAGAAGGACTGCGCTTGATTTTTATCTCTGCTTGGGCATATATCTGTTGAAGGGAAGAGCCCTGGATGGGTAGAGGCTAGCAGGCTACAGCATGCCGGACTAGAGGGGCCTGGGCAGCCTGAGCCATCCTCCAAGGAAGAAGCACATATGTAGAAGGATCTGGAAGAACAGCATCACGGGCCATAGAGGAGTGACTGGCAAGACAAGCCCCTCCACGGAGGGACTTTGCTCAGAGTCTCCACGGGTGCCCAGTGTGACCGCTTTCCGCCTTGGGAACGCTCTGGAACGCTTGTGCTGCTGCCTCTTCTGTCACATGGCCCAGCTTCCGTGCCCTTCCCAAGTCCCCCTCCCCCAAACCCTCTTGTGTCTGCTTCTCCATCGTGCTGTGTGTGGTGGGAGTATACACCATGCCCGGTGCCCCTGCTGACCCTAGAAGGGACTTTGGGCTTAAGTGGAGCCTGAAAGGGGAGCTGGGGAGATGATTCAGGTGGACACGAAAGATCCTCTGCACAGGGTCTTGGGAGGTGCCAAGAATTTTCCTCGCCACACCCAGGCAGCCCAGAGTGGGGGAAACTTGGGTAACTTACTTGGGCCAAGACCTCAGCGTTGGGAGACGTCCCTCCACATTCCCATCAGCACCCTGGCCTTGACTTCCCATGTAACCGTCACCTGTTGCCTCCTCTCCTCCCTATCCCTGCCTCTCCCAACTACCCACTTTTCCTGCCCACCCTCCTCAGCGCTGACTACCAGGAACGCTTCAACCCCAGCGTCCTGAAGGATTCAGCCCTATCCACCCACAAGCCCATTGAGGTGAAGGGCTTGGGAGGCAAGGCTACCATCATCCACGCTCAGTACAACACCCCAATCAGCATGTACTCTCAGGATGCCATCATGGATGCCATCGCTGGGCAGGCCCAGGCCCAGGGCAGTGACTTCAGTGGGTAAGCGTCTCCTAACTCCATATGCCTGCGGAGGCTACCACGCTCGCAGGACCAGCTTTCTTCTTCTGCCTTGAGCCTCCCAGGTTCAAGGGTTCAAGCCGCTGGAGGGGGTGGTCCAGCCTTCACCAGAAAGTGTTGCCCTCTCTCTCTTCAGAGTTCAGCTTTAAGAGAAACGGTAAAACATAGACTGTTGAGTCTCCTCAGAGAAAGTGTGAGACTGCATTTTCCAGGCTTCATGAGAGGGGCTGGTTAGAGACTTCTGTGGTGCTTTCAAAGGACCATGGGAGACTCCTGGGCCTCTCACAAATGAAGCCACACTTGGGGAGTGGAGGGAATTGCTTTATTCTTCCAGGGATGAGCACCAATCCAGGTACTTGATGGGTTTTTACTGAAAGAGGCCTTCGGCCAACCATCCAAAGTGCTATTGGCAGTCAACCTCATGGTGGGCACTTCTCTCCTCTTTGCCCTAGGAGGTCTGGCTTCAGGGCAGGAGGATATAAAATACCCTTGGTTCCTGGGATTGGTCTATTAGCTTGGTTGGGGAACTTGAGGGTGGACGAGGGACAGAGTGGTGAAAACTCTGATGAAACTGGTACTGTTTAAAGCACTGACAGGGTCATTCTCTCTTCTACCTTCTCCTCACTCCCCATTTCTGTCTTTGTCTCTTTGCTTCTCTGTGTATGTATCTCTCACCTCATCTCTACATCTCTGTCTCTTTTCTCTGTCTTCCTCTCTATCATTGTTTCTTATTTTTATCTGTCTTTCTCACCTGTTTTCTTACTTAAACACACACACAGAGAACATGAGCATGCAGCGGTCTTGGGAATGTCATAATGTAGAGCTAACATCTCTAGACAACATGTTATCCCTGGATCGGAGATTCCCAGCAACTCAGGAGAAAAACACTTAAGGGACATTACACTTTTTTCTGAAACTATAAAAGCAGATAGTATAGGGCTGGAGAGATGGCTCAGTGGTTAAGAGTACTGTCTGCTCTTCCAAGGGACCTAGGTTCAATTCCCAGCACCCACAGGGCAGCTCACAACTGTCTGTAATGTGCATTCCAAAGGATCTGACACCTTCACACTAATGCACATAAAATAAAAGTTAAATAAAAAAAAATTTAAAAGAAGATATTTTAGGAGGGACACAGAAAGGTCCCAGGCTGCTTCTACAGGATAAGGACAAGCCTTTGTGGCCTTGGTGTATATGCAGAGGCCAGAGGATAGGGGACTTCTTGTCCTGGGCTCACTTCTGGAGAGCCTGACCCCAGTTAAGAGAGGTACTACTTTCCACAAACCACGAGGGGGCGGAGGTTGTCCATTTTGCACTCACTAGTCTGAAACCTGTTGAGCTCATGACTGTTGAGCCCTTTGCAGACATCTGGGCTGTGTTGACTTACTTAAATCGCTTATTCAAAGAAAAAAAAAAATGACCATGCAATTAAAAAAAAAAAAAAAAAAAAAAACATTAGCTCATGTATACCCCGAAAAACAAGTCTGGCTGACCAAGCCCAAAAGCCAACAGGAATTTCCTGTTAACATTTGTTTGTCACATGGTCTTTGATGTGCCCCCTAAAAGTAGTAGTAGTCACCAAAGGAAAGGCGAATGAAAAACAATGGATAAACTGCTCATCACGCTTCGTTTTCTGCACACTGGGAAAACTTCTATTGTTTGATTCTATTATCAGGCACCTGTGATTTGGAAAATACGATGCTCTGTTGATGAATCTAGCTGTCTCCCACACGTCCCTTCCCCTCCCTGCCTCTCATTGCTAGCGTGCCTGGGAAGGATCAACCTTTCCCCTTCCTTTTAACTCGAGCGCGCTGAGGTGCTGCTATGGCACAGTGAGGAACCCTCCTGGCCATACCGTGTTCCGTTTCTGCTGTTATTCCCCACGGTTCTTTCCTCACTGACAGTTTTCTTTTTCTCTCTCTCTTCCTCCTTCACCCATCCCACCTCCCCTAACTCATTTCTGGTCCTAACCCCCGCTCTCTTGTGTGCGCTGCCCCTCTGCTATCCCATGATGGACGCGCACTCACGGCTGGGTTTCCTTCTGCTTGGCAGGGCATCTCCGCTGGCGTAAGTAGACCCGCAGTGTCCTTCTTGTCACTTGTCTAGTTGCGGGATGGTGTGTGGGTTTGGTGGGATGTGTCTGAGGACAAGTGGTCAGTCCATGCGCTCTGTCCACCTTTTTCCTCACGACCACCTCTCAGCCACACGACATCCTCTGCAGCCTGCATAGACAGATGCTTATCTACAGATGCTAATGTGGCTACAGAAATCTAATCATGGCACTCACGGTGCGACCACCCTGGCCTGAGGCTTCATACCTGCCTTTTCCTTGCCGTGCTTTGGTGAGGTTTTCCCAGGCTTTCCTAGCTTCACTGGGACATGGCACACTTGAGGGTCACAATCCACACCTTCCAGTGCTGGAAGGTGACAACATAACCTCTAGGAAGCCAGTCCCCAGAACCCTCATGAACCAAGGAGATCTGGTTGTGCCCCAGAGACCTTAGGAGTCCTTAGAATCCTTCCTCTACAGGAAACAGCTTTCTGGAGGAAAAACAGAACCCAGGGCTTCCTTTGCTCCTGGAGCAGCTGTGAGCTTCTCCCTGGACCCCAGAGGAATCTGTAGGACCCATAACTGATCTCAGTCACAATCTTACAAAACCTAGCTCTCTAAGCTAGATAAAGTAAAGCCTTCAGGGAAGTTGGGGCAGAACCACCCACCTTTTATCCCTTTTTCTTTCTTTCTTTCTTTTTTTTTTAAAAAAAAAAAATCTCTGCTCTCATAGCTCACCCTGAGCCAAGCCTAAGGAGCCAATCCTGAGAAACTAGACCAATTCTATCCCAGCTCCTTGAAGAAAAGCTCAAAGACTTGTGTACCAAGGGGATCCTGTTCTGGCTAGCCAGTCCCAACTGGGGCAGATGGAGCCAGGCAGGAGGGTGCGAGATGGGGCATGCCTCAGCTGAGCTGTGTCTCCATGTGGTCAGATCATCTGAACTGTGTAGTCCCTGGTAGGCAGACGTGCCCTTTGAGCTTCCTGACCATAAAACACCTGACAGAAAGGACACTGTGCAAACCAGCTGTGGAGGTACACAACCTCAGGAGACTGGGGCGAGGAAGGCTTCATACCAAGACTCTGCTTCAAGATGATGATGATGATGATGATGATGATGATGATGATGATGAAATAGTGAAGTAAAAATTAATCATAAGAAAGGGAGAAAAAAAGGACACTGGGCTGGGAGCTGGGCCACCGAAGTTATCATTCAATGGTGTCCCTGTCTACTGCAGCCTGGGGCTAATCAGCGGACCTCTCTGGACCTCAGTTTCAAAATCTGTAAGAGGAAAAGACTAGTTGGCAGGTTGTTACTGCCATAGGTCTGGCCTGAGTGCGCCCTGACATCTGAGAGGGCTTTCTGAGCAACATAGATCCTGTAAAACTTGATTTAGGTAGAAATTCCAGCACCTGAGACATGCTGGGATCCCTGCTGGCTTTGATCTGGAGCTGAAAAGATTATTCAGCTAAGAATTTTGAGTATCTGCTATGTCTCAGACCCTAGGAGCTTAAGGAGATATCATCAGGTTCCCCTCAAAAGACTATGCTGTTTGGGGGCAGAGACCATGCCTGCAAGCTTCCTTCCCAAGCTCCTCCTCCAACCCCAGCTCTTAGCCCCACTGTCCCTGTATATCATGCCAGGCCTGAGCAAATGTTTCCCACTTTGGTACTCATAATACACCCTAGCCAGGCTGTCTCCCGCAACTGAGCCAGAAGCCCCGGGCATCTTCTAGCAGCAAGGCAGTGGCAGCTCCCTCTCTGGATCTGTGGGTGTGAGGAGGCCCCTGGATGGGCTATTGGATGCCTCCAGGGCCCTCAGGCAGGCTGTTCTTACCAGACCCCAGCAGAGCTGGCTCAGGGAACCCAAAATCACTTCTAGGAGATTTACCTCTTCCCTCCCTAAAGGGACTCCAGCCTGTGGGGTGGGAACGTGTTCAGACCCAGGATTAGCACTGGAGTAAGGCCAAAATGAAAGATAGAAACCTCATGGGCAAAAAGAGCCACTGTCCCACTGGGCCTTCCCTGACCTCTGAGACCCTGAGCACCGAAACCCCAGGCTTCTCAGCATTTCTAATCGTGGTGGAAAAAAACAGTGGGTGCAAGTGTGGGGGGAAGGACAAAGTGGGAGAACAAATCGGTGGGGGGGGGGTCTGAGTTCCAGCCTGGCCTCTGCCCACACCCTTTCCTGCACTACAGGAGCCTGCCCGTGAAAGACTTGGCCGTAGACAGCGCCTCTCCCGTGTACCAGGCTGTGATCAAAAACCAAAGCAAGCCGGAAGATGAGGCTGATGAGTGGGCCCGCCGGTCCTCCAGCCTGCAGTCTCGCTCCTTCCGCATCCTGGCCCAGATGACTGGGACAGAGTACAGTGAGTGAAAGTGTTGAGGTGTGGCTGGGGGTGGAAGTCGAGGCAGGGTGATGCAGAGAGGTCCTGGCTCCCGCATAGTCTTAAAGCTAAGGAGTCAAGCCACCTGCCCTTGAAGATTAACTGACACTGATAAAGTTGGCAGCTGGCAGAGAGCCTCCGAGTCCCTAGGTGGGTCTTCCATTCTAACCACTAACCCCAAACAATAAGAGACTTTGTCATACAGCTTCCAGCAAGGTGTGGTGGCTCAGGACTGGGAGAGGAGGACCTGCAGGTCGCCTCAGACCACTGCCTCCCAGTTGTGTTGTATCTCAACTCCCCCTGGCAGAGGCCTGGCGTGCACACTCTCATTGCCACCACTGACAAGATGGCACAGGAAGTGTTCAGGGCCCAGCTGACATCTAGGGACTTACTGTGCATGGGCTTTTCTTCCTATGGTCACTGTGAGTCCTCCTGACCAACTTTCTTTCTCCCACAGTGCAAGACCCTGATGAAGAAGCTCTGAGAAGGTCAAGGTAGGTGCCTAGACTCGGGTTCCACAGCCTTGCCTTCTAACCCTATCCCTCCCCGGGTAGCCCCTAGGCCACATGACTCATGGAAAGAACCTTTCATGTTCATGTATTTGAAAAGCTCAGCCCTTAAAGGGCTCCCGCAAGTGCAAGCTTGGGTGGCCTTCCCAGGTCAGTGAGACATATAGGAGTGAGGAATCTGGGCTCTCCTGGCTCCCTTACTGGGCAGGGGCAGGGCTGCTTTGGCCTTCGCTGGGCTTTGGAGAATGAGGGCATCTCTCCCTGTGAGGGCAGTGGGCCAATGCCTTGCCTGCACACTCATTTTTGGGCTTGTCCCCTTGTGAGTCTGAAGGCTTGGCACTGTGAGCAGGCAACAGAGGGCCATGCTAGGCATAAATATTTGACCTCTAGACTCCCCTGCCTGTTCATACATTGAGGCAGTAGTTCTATAAATTGCTCAAAGTATAACAGCGGCTGCAAGGAAGTATGAGCCCTTGGCACAAGGAGGGGCTTGTATGGGGCTAGGCATCTCAGGGCATGGTCTCCTGGTCAGTGGCAAGTCCAGGGCACCACCACTTGCCTACTGCCTGTGCCCTGTTAGAAGCTATAGCTGTGAGCATGAGTGGGGCATGGCTGTTCTGAAACCCACTGGAACCTGTGAGGGCCTTCCATGGTGAGGCATGGGGGCCGTGTGATTATCTGTCCACTTCTGGCAGTGAGTATGTCATCTGCATGTTCTTCTTGGACAGTCTGTCTGGGGCTAGTGAGTCCTGTGGTGGCCTCTCTGGGAGGGTCTGGGATTCAAAGGCATGTTCTCCCCTGAGCCAAGCTTTCTGTACTTGCTAACCACACATGGTGGCCGCAGAACTCTGGAAGAGGAGTGTTCTCGGGCCAGCTGGGACTCCATGTGCATTTGATTGTTGAACTTGTATCTTTGCCAATCCGAGCTGCTCCTACTTTCTGGCTGGGAGTGTGCTCCTCCCAGGCCTGCTAAGGGTGGCATGTAGTCCCGGAAATGTGCTTAACCTCTTAGCTCCCGAAGTGCATCTGAAACAGAGTACTAAGTACAGCGCTGCTGCAGCGGGAGCAGATGTGGAGGGCCAGCTGTTTTAGGTGTGGCTGAGCTCTCAGCTCTCTAGTCCTCCTGTGCTCTGCTGTCCCTACATGCTATTTCTGTGTTGTCCCCACCCTCTTCATCGAAACCACCCACATAGATGCCCCAGGAAGCAATGCAGACTCTCCCAAAGACTCAATGTCAGGATCCTTATGTAGCCTCCCCAATACAATAAACAGCTTACACCCCAAGTTCTTTCCATCAGGAAGTCAACTAGAGGCCTTTTTCTCCCCTTTTTTAAGACACAACATTCTTCCTTCGTCTCTGCCACCTCTTCTGATCTCTTTATGCTCTTCTTCTATCCAGCACGCACATGCCACTCAGGCTAAGCTTCTGTCTCGTCATCAGCTGTTTATGTTTAGAAGAAAAGAGGTCCCAGTAGGAGAGCTAATCTGTTCCCTGTTTCCCCTGGAACATTACCAGGCACTGCCATAGAGTTTCCTCAGAAGAAAACCTGGCAGAGGTCCCAAGAAGAGGCTTCAGCCTGCTTCCTGCCTCAGCCCCAGGCCATCCCTCCCAGGATTTCAGGTCCTTCAGTGGAGACTCTTAGGCTCCAGCAGACCTTCCCCCCAGGACCAAAGGGTGCAAGCCTCTTGATTCTGTCTCTATTTCTGACTTTAATTTGTTGAAGGTTGTCCTCATGGACACAGTCTTCCATTTCCCCAAATCCCAGCAGCCCGGGACTCTGGGATAGAGGCTGTGTATGCCCTAGTTCCACTACACTTGGAAGGAAATTGCCAAGAAAAGTCTGCAGCTGCCCGGTCCCTGGGCCACTCAGGCCAAGAGCATGTTTCTTCCTCGTGTACTGCCTTCAGACTGCTCAAGGGACTCGCTCAGTGGTTAGAGCCACACCTTGACTCCAGAGTTGGGAGCTGAACCCCAGGGCCTGCTGATCCATCCTGATGACAGTTAATACCCAGCTTGTCCCTCCTCCTACATCAGCCCCTAGTATGCTGGCACCCCGGCAAGTCTGAAAGCCACAGCTGGAGATGGCAGGCCTTCCAAGCACCACAGCCTAAGCAGACCCAGCAGGCCTCCTTCCTCTCTTCTGCTTTCTCCTCTTCCTCATCTCCATGGGCTTTCTCATCTTGCCTTTTCTTTGGCTAGACAGGAATTTCCCAACAGCAGCAAATAGAGTAGGTTCACAAGATTCACAGAGGTTCTAGAACTGACCTTTACTTTGTCACTGAGCACCAATGACAAACTGTCACTGAGCCTTGGTGGGCTTTGCTAGAACTGGAGACTCACTGGCAACTGGCCATGTCTCTCATTTTGTACTTCTACTGTCTCTATGAGAAGGTTCTGAGTGTTTGCAGGGCTGTGTGGGCCTTGCCACAGGGCCTCTGTGTATACTGCTTTCACCCATTCACCCTGACTGACCTCAGAAAGGCAGGTATGTGGAGGGGAAAGGCCCGGCATTCAGATGGTGGACTCACTCCTGAATTTCTGTGTGCCTTTAGACTGCTCATGTGGACATCCCTGAGCCTCTTGGTATAATGAAGAGGTTGGATCAGACCAATGTTTTACAACCATGCTAGCAATTAGCAGCCCCCGCCCCCTGCCTTTGCAACACTCTTACAGAATTGCAATGTGCTGAACTGAGGAGCAGAGGGAGAGCAAGCCAAGCCATGCAAATGAGAAGGTAGACCTCTGTAAACACGGGCATGTGGGGATGCAAGGACCAGGTCTGGTGATTACGACCATGCATACTGTAAGACCAGCTTTGCCTAAAGTCAGGCTTCCTGGTTCAGGCATGCTGGCAACTCATTTTTAAATTGGACTTTTCATTTTGAGGTAACTGCCAATTTACTTGCAGTTGTAAGAAATGACAGAGAAATACGGGGATATGGTAGCACGTGTCTTTAAACCCAGCACTCAGGAGGCAGAGGCAGGCAAATCTCTGTGAGTTCCAGCCTGGTCTACAGAGCAAGTTCCAGGACAGCCAGGGCTACACAGAGAAACCCTGTCTTGAAAAACAAACAAGCAAACAAATGCAACAAAGAAATGATGGAGAGATTCTCTGTGTCCCACTTCCTTTTCCAGTGGCAAAGTCTTACGACATCATAGCACAATGTCACACTGATGACATCACTTCAACCCAAACACAGACGGTTCCACACCTATGACCGGCCATTCCACGGGCCTCCAGATCCAGCCACATACACACACCTCTTTCTGTTGACCAGCAATGGAATCATATAGTATGTGACTATTTCAGGGTTGGCTTTTTCATTAGCAAAATTTCTTTGGACTTTATCAAGGTGTTGTGTGAACCAGTACAAATTCACACATACACACCCTGATTCCAAAATCCAAAGTGCCCCAAAGCCAAAATGTTTCTGAGCACCATGATAACACCAAAGATTAAAAAAAAATTACTTTTGATGTCATGTCAAAACACAGATATTGGGTGTGATATGGTGATGCCTTTTATTCTAGCACTCAGGAGGCAGAGGCAGGCAGATCTCTGAATTTGAGGCCAGCCTGGATACAGAGTGAGTTCCAAGACAGCTACATAGCAAGGACTCTCAAAAGAAAAACAGAAACAAAAGACAATGGATGCTAGGTTGGGGGGTAGCAGTGGCAGAGGGCTTTTCTACATGTATGAGACCCTGGGGAGAGTTGCCAGGACTGAAGTGATGTTGAGAACAAAACACAGGTCCTGTTAAAAAGTTACCTTGAGTTATGTGCATAAAGCGTATATGCTATGTAAATGAATTTTATACTGTCTACCCATGCTATTTCATTATATATGTGCAAGTATTCCAAAACCATCTGAAATCCAAAACAGTTCTGTCTCGTGAATTTTGGATCAAGCTTATTCAGCCTGTAATTCATTTGCGCAGTATCCCATGATGAGGATATTTTTACATTCTATTTTTACATTTGTTTTGATTTAGTTAGTAACTGTTGGCAGGGCCACCTCTTGACAACAATGCCAGCACGACTATTTTTTGACTGTGTCTTTGTTCGGGTTGCATGCACCGTGTTTAAGGTTAGGTGTGATTCCTGCCACCAGTTTGTATCTCTGCCATGGAGGAGGGTTAGGTTCCCAGCACCATTGGCTGGCGTTTCCTTGGCCCCCTTCCCTCCCCTTCCCTTTCCACATGCTGGCCAGAGGGTGCCTGCACTGTGTCTTCACCTGGGCAGTTGTGAGTTGAGCCTCCCAGAGGCCCACTGACAGGAAGGAGCAGGTCCTGCTCCTTTGTTTCTGTGGCAGAGAGTATGTGTGTGCGCTTGTGAACCAGGGTGGGCCCAGGCTGTGCTTAGGTCTGGGCCTGTAGGAGCCCTGAGTAGCATGTGAAGGCTTCTCTCTGGAGATGGTGAAGGTGAGGAATACCAGGCAGTACAGGGAGGTAACAGGTCTACCCAGCAGCCCTCATCATAAGTTAAGTGTTCCTTCTTCTTAGTGCCCAGCTAGAGGACAGAGACCATTCTGGGCTTGCCTGCCTGTTTGGTTCACTTCCAAGAGCCCACAGCCAAAGCAGCTCTGCCCAGTCCTAGCCCCACAGGCCAGGGAGCCTTCCTCCCTTTGCCCATTGGCCCCCTAACCAGGCCCCTACTCTATGCCTCTCCTCCGAGCAAGGCAGGGACTTCAGTCCCTCCATTTTGTCCCAGAACTAAGTCTTGCCCTATCTGACTTAAGCCGGCCCTCTAGAAAGTAGTTCCCCAAAGGATGGCAATGCTTCCCCAAACCAGTTCCCCACCCGTCCCTCTGTCCCAGCTTCAGGCAGGGAAATAGTGGACATGTTCCCTAACCCCTCTCTTTCTCCCTCTCTCTCTACCTGTCTCTCTGTCTCTGTTTCTGTCTCTCTTTCTCCCTGTCTCTGTCTCTGTGCCACAGGGAAAGGTTTGAAACGGAACGTAACAGCCCACGTTTTGCCAAATTGCG